GCACACACCCCTGTAGATGGTCAGTGAGTGTGTGAGTTTGAGGACTTCCTTGGATATGTATGCAGTCACTATACACAGAGACACGCAGTGGCCCATCCAAACGCTGGAAGCAGGGATATGAAGAAGACTGCTGAAGGAGATGGAAGAGATCTACAAGTGGATGTGGAGGACGAGGTGTATGGAAAGCCCAGGACTACAACAGAGCAAATAGTAAATCGATCTCTAATACTGGATTGCATTATTGAAGGTTACCGTTATCATTTTGGGTGGAAATGGATAAACGTATTGATCCCCTCATGTTGGATAGCTATTAATTAAGGATGACAAATTAGGGCACTGCCTACCTAAGACGATCCCACCTAAAGGTATCAAATTAGGCAGCTGTGTAGCAGATAGAATTATGTGAATGATGGAAAAAGAAATGAATGCGCTAATCCAAGCACCATCACCACAACAGTGCACCTGGCTGTATCTCCCATAATTATTCTTTCTAGATCAATGTTATAAAAAGCGATTACAGTGGGTAGTTGCTGGGTTTTTCCCTAAATCCAAACCTCTATTCCTGACATTAAACCACTGATGTGGCCGATTAGATCTCCGGCACCTGTGTCAGAGCAGTGAAAAAGTGTTTAAAGTGACCTTTTTCTCTGGGTCACTGCCACTGGAGGTGTTACTAGGCACCAATGTACACACTGCCCTTTCTCTGAAACTTTAAAAAGCCTGCAGGGATTGAATATCGATACTACAACCACTCCATTAGGCTGCATCAGTTCTGGTGACTGTAGTGTCCATTTAAGCCAATCAGATAATCTAAGAAAGTACTCTGTGGGTTGTGGACAGTAATTCAAAGATTGTGTGACTCTGTAATGACAGATATTCCATGTATTTCAATGTACACTTTCCAGCTGCGTGGAGCAGTACAGTATATTCCCTAATGCACCCCTCAGTTAGAGTAGTCTATAACCTGAGTTATAGAGCAGCCTACCTATGGTCCCCTCTGCTGAGTGCAGGCCATTCATCATGATTATTTGTCTCTTCATTTAGTGAAGCCCGGCACTGCACTAAAGCTGAGAGGCTGTCTGATGCTCTTGGCCAATAAGCTACCCTGCATAGCAGAGTAGCACTCGAGCAAGTGGAAGCTCCTTAAAGGCTTGATAATGGTTTTAACACATATATTAAAACCACCATCAACCACCCTAGCTCACCTTGCTTCCCTAAATGTAGAACAATCTTACTTGTATTTAAGTCTGAAGATTCTGCCCCTGACCTGTCTGCTTGGATGACATCATCCGAAGTAATTCTCTGAGCCAATTAAAACACTTCCCCATAGGTTTGCCTGAGATTGTCAAGGAGGCAGATCAGGGGCAGAGCCAGCACAAGTCAAACACATCCCTGGCCAATCAGCATCTCTTCATAGAGATACATTGAATGAATGCATCTGTATGAGGAAAGTTCAGTGTCTCAATGTGAAGCACCTCTAGCAGCCATCTGAGGAGTGGCCAGTGGAGGTATCCCTAAGCTGTAATGTAAACACTGCATTTTCTCTGAAACAAACATTTACTGCAAATAGTCTGACGAGTGATTCTACTCACCATAACAAATGCAATAAGCTGTAGTTATTCTGCTGACTATAGTGTCCCTTTAAATACTTGCTGTAACGGATCTCCCTGTACTCCGAGTAGGTATCTGCGCGTAGGACCACTTCCTAGCTGGTACAGGGGACAAACCGCAGCGCTTCTGACCCCCCAGTCGCCGTGACTTGATTGGGATCCTAGAACTTCTCCCTCCTGGAGCAGCTTGGGGGACTTGCTCTGTCCACTCCCAGGGAATAGATGAAACACAGTCCTGGGAGCTGGAGTCCTTACAAGGACTTTCCCCACTGGAACTAGCAGGAACAGTGATTAGCCCTTTCCCCTCCCAGTAACCAGACGACACATAGTTCTGGGAGTACAAGCTGGAATGCTTTAATCTGGCCGGATGGCCTGCTTTTATACAATAGCCCGTACAAAGGGGTCTCCCATACAAAACAGGGAAATCCCTACAGAATCCTCTGTGCCTGAGAGATAATTACCTGAGCAGACACTTATAATTTAATTAGGGACACAAAATATAACAATTTACAAAACACCCCAAAATACACATAAAATACGCAAGAAACTAACAATGTTTTTTTTTTTTTCAACGTCAAAAATACAATTCTTAATAGGACACTATAGTCACCACTACGGATTAATGTAGTGGTTCTAGTGTTTATAGCCTGTCTCTGCAGGCTTTTCATTGTAAACGCTGGATTGTCAGAGAAAAGGCAATGTTAACATTGCTGCCTAGTAACACCTCTTGTGGCTGTCACTCAGTTACTTGAGGTGCTTCCTAGTTCGGTGCTGTACAGTGTGGTCAGTGGCGACATGCTCGCATGCAGTTGCTGATGGTTCCCCATAGGTTTGCATTGATTCAATGCATCTCTGAAGAGATGCTGTTTGGTGAAGCACGGTGTTTTGCTGTGCATGCGCGATTGCCTCGCATTGGATTGGATAAGATCATCAAATTTGATTATTTCAACCATTGAGGCATGGCCATCCATTGCGAGGGGAATAAAGGTGAGTAAATACCTTTCTAATGCAATCAGATGGAGGCCAATCACCTAAACATATACACTCACTGACAGAAACACACTCTGAGACACACGCACACTCGCATAGAGACACACACTAATTGAAAGTCACACACTTCTACTGACGCAAGCATTATTCCCATGTGCTCACAAAATATACATATATTTTATTTTTTTACTTTAATTTATGTCCATCCTGCCTCCATACCTTTAGGAGAGCTATAGTGGATGATTTCCGTAGGGAAAAGATGACCAATTACCAATTTTAGACAAGGGATGTGTCTGATCTCAATTTTTCTCATCTGATTATTTTTTTTTTTGTAGGTGTGGAAGTATTTAAAAGGGCAGAAGGAAACTTACAAGAACTTGAAGATGGAGAGTCACCACCCCCTTATCTCATTGGGTGAGACAATGTTTAATGAGCATTGTGTTTGGTTATAGAGAAGATACCATATTTGCTTATGTCATCAAACACCCGGTAACCATTATTTACTGTGAGACCTATACAGTGATACCACAACTTTGAGACCTATACAGTGATAACACAAGTTATGCGAATAAAATAATTTGTCTATTATCTTTGATTTGGTTTACAGATGATGTTATACAAGTCACATGTAATGTCCACTGATTTTTCACAAGGCCCATTCTTTAATTATGTTGTTCTATGATGTCACAAGGAATCCTGATGGCAAGTGATTAACTACCAGTTCAGTTCTAGGGTATTTTTCATGGTTAGCTGCTGCACAGTTCGGGAAAGTGGAGTCTACTGAACAAGAAGCCATTCTGGTTCATCCAGCATCTAGAATGTGTTCTGCACGTTAGATAGAAACGCACCTCACTAATCAATGACTGATTACCACTGCAATAAGTAAGTAGTAAAATAGTATTAATACATTGCTGGAGGCTGCTAAACCAAACTAGGAAATACACATAAATCCACCTTTTGTAACTATATACTAATTATTACTGCTCTGCTAAATCGCAGGTTAAGCAAGTTGGAAACAAAGTTATCATCTAAATTACATAGATATAATAGATGTTACTACAAATATAGCAGGCAGCAAACTGCAGGAACAAACTAGCAGCTGTAGCCGACCAAACAAACTTAGGAACAATGTTGCACGATGAGCGGGTTATGTAACCAGTAGGTATTTTAACCAGCTGTATGAACAATGCAGGCAGCGGATAGTGGAGAGATCGATAAGCCATGTCCAGTGTAGATCCACTCTACAAGTGTTTTCCTTTAAGTGGATATCCCATCAGAGGAGACATTATCCCTTTAAAAGTATTTTTTCTTTAGTAGATCAATTTATGTAGCTACTTGTAAGGATGTAACCATGTGAAATTCCTCATACTGATATGTTCTGGACAAAGTCTGGACACAGACGAAACGCGTACACCATGAGAACTTGGTGTGCCTATTTGTGTGCCATCATTTGGAGCACTTTTCGTCCGACTATTTACCACTGAGCAGCAACCTTAAGAGGACTTACAGCCAATGGCTCATTACAGCAACACATTTCAGCTGTATTTATAACTGTTGGGTAGTTTTCCATGTTGTGTGCAGCCATGAAGAAGACCTGACAGGTCTAGTTTCTCTTCCTCTGTCGGTCATTCTGGATTCCGTGTGCTTTCCAGCGCATAAACACTGTATCTACAGTGAACACATCCCTCAGAGTTACAGTGGATAAGCCACTAATAGGTTTTATGTTCACCTTTACATATTTTTAATACAGTGTTTTTAATTCAACATTAATACTCTATTATTGGTGTTTGGGGGTAGGAGGGGGGATTGTACAAGGGAAACACATATCATATACAGACTCTCTTAGAATACAGTTGTCTTGCACCTTCTATTTAGTATTTTGTTACTTTTTCAGCTTTTTTGGCTCTCGTAAGAGTTGCTTATACTTTATGTAATACACACTCCCGTGATTGATTTGTGAAACATACATATTTTTGTGCCATATTTGGCAATATCACTTGGTTAGACAATGCCGTAGCCTCATTCCACAGCTCCGTTCCAGCTTTATCCCAAGAACTATAAACTGGATATGGAATGGTCACCCCCTCTTCACTCAAGACTAGAACAAGGCATAGGATCCTGCATTCACCACTATTTCCGTGACAACAATAACTGCACAGATTTCTTTAATTCTCAGATAGGAGTCCCACAAATGTGTTATTAGAGGGTAGTTAATAAAATAGAGGGCACACTTACAGTATAGAGATCTTTTCACACTGAACCGCTCCACACTTACAGTATAGAGATCTTTTCACACTGAACCGCTCCAATCTGAGATTATGACTTTTGAACTCTCTGATAAGCATTCTAACGCTGATCCTGGTGCGCTAGCACTAAATCCATTACTTCTCTATAAGAACATTGTAATGCCCAGTGTGAAGTCTTTGAAGTATTTAAATGTCTCTAGTGATGGTGTCATTGTAGGTCTGACTGATGGCCACTAGATGAATCCTTATTGACAAATGTAAACATTGCTGCTTCTCATCAGTGATAGCATTTACGTTTGTCACAGAATCATAGTGTCTATGTACCAAAACCACAACATTAAGAAACCCTTTAGCTATGCTTTTCTTTAAACTCTGTCTAAGATTTTGTATTCCTACATAATGTCATTATTGCTTTTCACTGACAATGTCATTGTGATGCATTATAACTTCTCAGTCATATATTATATAATGATAAAAAGAATGCAAACTTTGTTGACAAAACATGGATAGAGATCACTGCATAAGCAATAGCCTAGACTTTTTATCATCTTAGAATGTCCGTTAAGAAAATGTTCTTATTTTATTTTCTAATTTTAAGTATTTTTTCTTTCCAGTAGATGGTTCCGTAAATAAAAATGAAACCAGTGAATTTTTCACTCCAGCTTCTTCCCTCGATTATATAACTGAAGATAATAAAATCACAATAAATCAAAATATAAACTATGTGACCGATAGTACACCATCCAGTAAGTCTTTGAGTCATGAAGCCACAGAATCAGAGGTTGAACATATTAGAGGGATTAATACTGCCATGGAACTTATACAGATGGAATATCCATCTTCTGATATTAAGGCGGAATCAAACTCGTGCGAGGAAGGAAATCTGCCAGACACAGATAATTATGCACCCACAGAATGTACAAAGATAGAATATACTTCTACTCGTATCAAGGAGGAATCAGACTCGTGGGAAGAAGCAAATATCACAGACAATTATGCTCCTACAGAAGATGCACAGATCGAATATCCATCGACTTATATTAAGGAGGAATCCAACTCATGGGAAGAAGTTAATCTCCCAGACACAGACATCTATACAACCACAGAAGATGCAAAGATCGAATATCCATCTACTCATATTAAGGAGGAATCAGACTCATGGGAAGAAGTTAATCTCACAGACACAGATGTTTATACACCCACAGAATGTCCATCTACTCATATTAAGGAGGAATCCAACTCATGGGAAGGTAGAAATCTTGTTGAAGCTTCCATTTATCCAATCAACGGAGATATACAAATGAACTATACAACAGAGTTTGAATCCGCATCAAATGAAAAACAAACTCTTATAAACACTGATAGTTATATGCGTACAGACCATACAGAGACAGAATATCTACCTGACCATATTAAGGTAGTATCAGCCTCGTGGGAATCCAGCGCCACTGTTTATACACCCACAGGAGATAAACATATGGACTATACATTTAATTCTGAAACTGCATCACACAAACAAGGAGACACTGACATTAATGCACCCACAGAACATTCACAGACAGAAAATCCATCTACTTATATTAAGGAGGAATCAGACTCATGTGAAGTTGGAAATCTCACCACTTTGGACCTTGGTACCCACACTTCTCATACTGGAATACAAAACACAGGGAATAGTAACTGCTTTGGTGATGCTAAGGTTTCATCCACCAATTCAAATCTTGCTAAGCATCAGAGTATCGACAAAGGAAATACATTGACCAGTACATATTACATTGGACATGAATGTTATGTGCAGAAATCACATTTTATCAGAGGTAGTAGAGCCCCCAAAGGAGAGAAGAAGATCTCTTGTTCTGAATGTGGAAAATGTTTCTCTCAAACTTCAGATCTTAAGAAACATCTAAGGATTCACACAGGAGAGAAACCATTTTTATGTTCAGAATGTGGGAAATGTTTCGCTCAAACGTCAGAGCTTAAGTCACATCAGAGGGTTCACACAGGAGAGAAACCAATTTCTTGTTCTGAATGTGGAAAATGTTTTGCTCAAATGTCAGAGCTTAGGAAACATATGAGGTCTCACACAGGAGAGAAACCATTTCCATGTGGCGAATGTGGGAAATGTTTCACTGATCATTCAAATCTTAGAACACATCAGAAGACTCATACAGGAGAAAAACCATATTCTTGTTCTGCGTGTGGGAGATGCTTTGCTCACATGTCAAATCTTAAGATACATCAGAGGACTCACACTGGAGAAAAACCATTTTCTTGCTCTGAATGTGGGAAAAAGTTTGCTCAAATAGCAAATTACAAAAAACATATGAGGATTCATACAGGAGAGAAGCCATTTTCCTGTTCAGATTGTGGAAAATGTTTCAGTGACCCGTCTGCTCTTATGAGTCATCAAAAGATTCACACAGGAGAGAAACCATTTTCTTGTTCAGTATGTGGGAAATGTTTTTCGCACATGTCAAATCTTAAGGCACATCAAAGGATTCACACAGGAGAGAAACCATTTTCATGTTCAGTATGTGGGAAATGTTTTAGTCAAATGACAAATCTTCAGACACATCAGAAGATTCACACAGTAGAAAAATAATTTTCTAATTCAGAATGCAGGAAATGTTCAACTGACCTTTGAATTCTTAAGAATCATCAGAAGATTCACATGAGAGAGCATTTCATGTTCAGAATGTAGGGAATGGTTCAGTCAGATTACAAATCTTCAAACCCATCAAATGATTCACACAGAAGAAAACATTATTATTTTATTTAAATCAGCAAGCAAAAACTTTGAAACAAATATTACAACTAAATTAAAGTACCAAAGACTTTGAAAAGTGTGTAATACATGTCAATAGACTTCGTTCAGATTGCATTATTGGCCACTCCTCTCAGCTAGGGGGATTTCCCAGCCTTCCTTCCCCCTTTACAGTTCAATATCAGTTCTAAACTAGTCCACTAATGACATAAGGAGGGCTTCATTGTGCCCCACCAGAACAGAGAACACCAATACCCGCTCTACGTTATCCCACTGACCAGACTCCCTCTCTTCTCTCCCTGTTAGGATGCTGCAAGCTGATCAGATCTTCTAACTGCGCGTGTGTAAACCTGTCCGGAATAAATATAGAGGGACACATACTTTATATATCTACCCTTTCAGGTTAGAAAAAAAAATACATTTAGCTGTTTGGAGAGTACAGAATGAAGCCAATTTCTCAAACGTTAGACCAACCTGAACTCAATATGATTACATCTGGGTAGTTGAAACATACGTCTTAAAATGTTATGTTATTTCTTAACGAAGCGATGGAGGATAATAAATAAATACTTTTGTTTATAATGTTGTCTAGTATGCTTTACAGTGGGTTTTTTGTCTGTTTAAACACTGTCCTCTATTTACACAGTAGCTTCATAGCGCAGCATACTATACCCCCTCCAGTGCCTTTTTAAAGATTCCGCTAGTTGGTAATTGCTTTCCAAACACTTTGAGTCCAAGCTTCTTCTTTTATATAAAGCTTTCAAAGACTTGCAGAATATCTTCCACTTGGCTGCTTGTCGTCGTCCGGATTCTGACAATTTCTTATAGTTTCAAGTGTCGTAATCAACAACAAAATAGAAGCATTGCTTCAACCTGGAATACAAATCTGAAGCGCGGTATCAGATACTTTCTTCATTCTAGAATTAGTATAGCTATAATTTCCATTATATTTCCTCTACCCGCTGTTAAGGTTGGGAAATGCAGCCATTGTCTCTCTTTTTCTTTAGAACACAGTGTTCCTTGTATTCTTCCATTACTCTCTCACTGTAGTGTTTCCTGTTCTGTTTTATGTCTATGTCAGTGATAGATCTTTTACTGTTTGGATTTTTATCAGAATAATATTTGTACCAATTTGTCTGCCCCTGCTCCTGTGTTTCTCTTTTCTTAAACTAACTGCAATTTAATTTACATCCTCTCGATTTGCTTTGTTCTGATAACTGGGATCTTCCCCTCGCATGTTTGCAATAACCAGAACAGAGACTGCGTCATGGATATTAGTCTTAAGGCCAGTGGGTAAAAAAAATTCCATCAGCAAACCTTGGCACTTTTTGCAAACATTTTGACGTATTGAGGAAAAAAGAGCTTCACTTAAAGGGACACTATAGTCACCTGAACAACTGCAGCTTAATGTAGTTGTTCAGGTGAGATCTATAGCTCCCTGCAGGCAATCTAATGTAAACACTGTGTTTTACATTGATAGGAATACCTCCAGTGGCCGTCACTCAGACGGCCACCAGAGGGACTTCCTATCATGTATGGCCCTAAAAAGGCCATTTACACGTATTAAAATACGTCTGACGTGTGCAGGAGAGAGAAGGCACTGTGTGCGTGCCTTCTCTCTCCTGACTGTCAGCAGAGGAGAGGGGGTGAGCATTGATCGCGAGCTGAGCTGTCAGTCAGTGGTTTACACAACATTTATACAGATTGGTACAATTTTTAAAGTCAGGGTTAACAGACAATAACTTGTTAAATTTGTTCATGAAATTAACCCTCACCATTTATTGGTCATACAGTACAACTGGCAAATAAGCTGTATTTTTGTACAACGTATTAATACATATATTTTTATCATTAATTGCTTTACATGCATGTACACATTATATAAGGACTTTCCAATTTCAACACACCAGCATAATTTGGGATAATAAATGTTTTTTTGCATTTGTCTGCTAATTTCTGCAACAAGGCTGTATTGGTATTGACAGTAACACCAACTTACTTAGGTTTAAATGGTAGGCTAAATGTTTGTGTTATCCTCCTATGCAGGATTTCTCTTTATTACCCATGCAAGGAATGCCTCTTGAATCATTTTAGCAGTACGGGAACAGATTCAGGTTTTTCCTTTTTTTTTTTGTGTTCGTTCCTTTATCAGAAAACATGACTTGTGCAAGCCGAAGGCCTCTGCTGGAAAACAAGGACTCTCTCCAATGTGTCTTAACAATTCTGGATAGTCTTTAATCCTTGTGCATGTGTTGCCCAAGGATTAAAGACTAAATATCTCATCTACCGCATCTGCCCGGCCAAGGTTACCTACTGAAGTGGATACCCAAGAGAGCACTATTTGAAGGCAGGTAAAGCGGGTCACTACTAACAATCGCTACCTAAGAGCCAGAGGGATCCTCCTTTTCCAAGACTGGAGGAGCCTCCGCTCACAGGCAGACTTAGCCGTGACCAGCCAGGAACTTCCCACTGGATTGATGAGTGGTCAACGCCCAGTCGAAACTGGCTTGGACAATGCCTGGGGTTTGGCATCTCTGATCTGGCTGGACAGTTTCAGGCTGTTCATGGCTAAGTGTTGGTCTGTGACTAGAGGCTCCATTGGAGTACACACTTGGGGGATCAAGACTATTCCGGGAATGTATAATTCATAATTTGAGACTGCTTGGGCTACATTGTTAAGTTGTAAAAGAACCAGCTTGTAAGTGCCCTGACCGCACTTTCGGCATGCTGACTCGGGTAGACTTAGTCATATGAAATAAAATAGTGGTCCAGGCAGTGTGATAGCCAAGATAGCAGTTTTACTGGAGCAAAAACAGCAAAGTTGCGACCCGACAGGTTTTGGTCAAGCTACCACATTATTGCAACAATAATCATTAACCCCTTAAGGACCGCGGACGGTTCAGGACCGTCATCGGCATTTTTGCCTTGCCGACCGCTGACGGTCCTGAACCGTCCTAACGGTCTTAGTTACTTACCTGATCGCCGTCATTCCCCCGGCGGCGATCGGTGTTGCTCCCGGTGTGGGGAGACTGCTTGCAGCCCAGACAGTCTCCCCACACCGGATTAGAACCCCTGTGGCCATGTGATCGCTCAACAGACACTGTTGGGGGCTGGATAGATAGACAGACAGACAGACATATACATACATACATAAACAGACTGACACAGACATATACATATATATTGCAATACATACACACAGACAGACACACATACTGACACACACACACATGCATACTGACACACACACTGACATACATAAACAGACAGACATACACATACATATTGCAATACATACACACACACATATATACAGACAGACATGCATGCATACATACACATACTGACATAAATACACACTGACATACACACATACTGACATACATACACAGCTAATTATGCTTACCTTTGTTTTCAGGTGGGTGGCTATGGCTGATGGGAGTCGGCGTGGCTCCCGTGACCTGGCTCTCTTCCCTCCCGCGTGGAAGGAGCTGGGAGGAAGTGACCACCGGCCGTCACTTCCTACCAGCACTACTTTGCGGCTGCAATTTGTTTTTTTTAAAGGGGCCCGTCATGCTATTGTCGCCGCAGCACTGACGGTGGCCCTGGGGCCGGGTTCAGGACCCTGGCAGGCCGGATTTGGCCCGCGGGCCGTAGTTTGAGGACCCTTGGTTTAAGAAGTGCCTTAAAACCCATCTCTTTAGGAAAGCTTATGGCCTCCCAGACATACCTGTCTCTTGCTCTCTCCTTAGGACAGCACTCTACTCTCTCCTCCAGCTCTGCTTCACTCCCACCTTATTTGATGATTTCCTGTCCTAATGTGTTTTATACCCCACCTCCTATAGACTGTAAGCTCGTTTGAGCAGGGCCCTCTTCAACCTATCGTTTCTGTAAGTTTTCTTGTAATTGTCCTATTTATAGTTAAATCCCCTTCTCATAATATTGAAAAGCACCACGGAATCTGTTGGTGCTACATAAATGGCAATAATAATAATCCTTTGAATTGAAGGTTTTGTGATGGGATTCCAGCATGGTCAAAATTTAGTAGGCCAAAATCTTCACATGGCATATGCTAATTAGTATCTGGTTACAAACAGTTGGATGAGTCATCAGTGTACTGAGCATGTGCCATTGGTGGAGAGCACATTCCTTTGTCTCAGATGAACCATGTGGTCTGCCTATATAAGGTGATCCTGAATATCCTGTTTGCTGATTGGTCTGAGGAATATAGGAGGGGTTATACTGCATGGGAGGGGATATGCTGTTAACAAAAAGCTTCTGTGCTCTGGCTCTCAGACATTTTTGGAACAGGAGTTCATCTGAGACCCGATAAACCTAAAAAGGTTCTTTATTCATACCGATCGGGTCTCAGATGAACTCCTGTTCCAAAAATGTCTGAGAGCCAGAGCACAGATTGCAGAAGCTTTCTGTTAACAGCATATCCCCTCCCATACAGTATAACCCCTCCTATATTCCTCAGACCAATCAGCCCACAGGATTTTCAGGATCACTTTATATGGGTAGACCACATGGTTCATCTGAGACAACGGAATGTGCTCTCCACTTCCGCACATGCTCAGTACATTGATGACTCATCCAACTGTTTGTAACCAGATACTAATTAGCATATGCCATGTGGAGATTTTGGCCTACTAAATTTTGACCATGCTGGAATCCCATCACATTCCCCTCTTTGATGCTTCTGATAAAAAGTTATTCCAGATGCATCACTAATCATAATTTGCCGACATCTCTCAAGTAACCATGAACCAGGACAGACCATATAAGCATTCTAACTTCTCAGCACTCCTCAACCTGCTCATCGATAGTATCTCTTTGGGTTAAGGGTTCATACTTCCAGATGGCCATTACATGAGCAGCCGTCTTTCTCTCTATAGTACTATCAATAATACTACGTATAGACCTAACAATCAATGGGATTAGGCAGGGCAAGAAGAGGCATAGAAAAATAATAAATACCATCCCTCCTACCAATGCCTTAATCCCTCCTAACTGCTCATACCAACTCCCAAACCAACTATTTGGATTATACCCATTCCAAATCTGAGTAGGTACGTGCGTCAGTTACTGTTATTAAGAATTCTCCTCACAATTTTAATAGTTAATAAAATTCAATGCTAAAATACACTCCTACCAAAAGGGGGTCCGTTCAAAGTACAAAGAACCAGTGGGGGTTGGTACAGAAATAGAGTTTGAAACAAAAGAACAGAGTCTGAGTTAAGTATCGGTATGAATAAAGAACCTTTTTACTTCCTGAAGACCTGCCTCCATCTCTCTGTGTTTGGCTTCTGCAGTTGATTACGGTAACAGTTCCTGTGTCACTTTCTTGCTGTTTGTCTAACATTGAGAGTTGATGGTGTCTTTTTCTAAACCTTCCAGTCCTATGAGAAGGCTGTATAATCCATTTCTTTTTGCTCAGACACTAAACCTATAACTCGTGTGTACTGGCCTTTTGGGATTAGATTAAAGACCGAGTGGGATGGAAGCTAATAAAATGTAATAGGATTTTTCTGTCAAAATGCTTCCTATGAAGATTTCTCGTAAACCCTTTCTCTCCCTTTTCAGTCAAAATATCAAGACATTGTATTGACTTTGTATCACCGTTCATAGTGAACTTGATGCAATCAGAACAGCCATTAAGGTAGCAAAAGAAATATTCTAGGGACCCTAGAGTCTAACAAACTCTGCATTCACTACATTAACACACACTGTATTTACTACACTAACACACTCTGCATTCACTATACTAATACACACTCTGCATTTACTACACTAACACACACTGCATTCACTACACTGACACACACTCTGCATTCACTACACTGACACACTCTGCATTCACTACACTGACACATTCTGCATTTACTACACTGACACACATTCTGCATTTACTACAATAACACACACTCTGCATTCACTACACTGACACACACTCTGCATTCACTACACTGACACATTCTGCATTTACTACACTGACACACATTCTGCATTTACTACAATAACACACACTCTGCATTCGCTACGCTAACACACTCTGCATTTGCTACACTAACACACACTCTGCATTCGCTACACTAGCACACACTCTGCATTCGCTACACTAGCACACACTCTGCATTCGCTACACTAGCACACACTTTGCATCCTCTACACTAGCACACACTCTGCATTCACTCCATTGACAAACACGCTGCATTTACTATACACACAGCATCCACTACACACACTGCATTCACTATACACAAACACTGCATCTAATACACAGACACTACATACACTGCATCTAATACACACAAACACTACATCCATTACACAAAGACACATTCAGCATGCACTACACACCCTGCATCTTATACACACAAACACTACATCGACTACAAACACACATTACATCCACTACACAAACACACTTTGTATTCACTGTAATACAGTACATCCACTACACAAACACACACTCTGCGTCAGGGCCGTACTGGCTCACCAGGATACCGGGAAATTTCTTGGTGGCCCGTCGGCACCCGAGGCCGGGCAGACAGCTGGGTGTGCTGGGGGAGCTGTGCTGGCGGCCGCAGGGGGAGCTGTGCTACTTAATGAGACCATGGCCATCATATCACACAGAGCCAGTCGCGCAGGAGGAGGGAGCTGGATTGGGAGAGCAGGCCCCCAACTCCCCCAGCAGCAGGTAGGAAACCAGAGCGTGGCTTAATTTTTTAATGTGTGTGTATATCTGTGACTCTGTGTATCTGTTTCTGTGTGTGTGTGTATATGTGTCAGTGTATGTATGTGCCAGTGTGTAATTCTGAGTGTGTGTATTTGTGTGTCTGTGCCAGTGTGCCAGTGTGTGTGTTTCTGATTGTGTGTAAGTGATAGTGCATGTATCTGTGTGTCAAGTTGTGTTTATATGCGATTGTTTGTATCTGTGTATCAAGGCATGTGCATTTTTATAAATAGTGTGTGAAAATAGTTGTTATATGTTGTGTGGGCCGCGTGGTGGGGCATGCGCATGGGGTGCAATGAGTTTTTTTTCATGTTGGGATGTCTGAAAAGATCACCTGGCCAGCTTATCCCACATAAACCTTGGAGACAGCATAGTCATTAATATTTTACCCTAATTTACATATTAAATACACATATACACAGTAAATTAATTTCACACGTTCTTCCTAAATTATCTGATACCTGATCTTTTTCCTCATGCTACAGGGATCTGCCCTCACGTTCTAATGCCTTTTTGCCCTAAACAAAGATGGCCGCCCGATAGTGTGTTCCCACTGACGTCATATTAAAGCGCACATTACATTCTAGCTCCCAGTATCTGTGTTTGGAGGTTTGAGCAGCTGCTGTGTGCAGAGGTAGTGGATACAGTGCTGGGAAACACAGGGAGGAGCTGCCAGTCAGGTGACTATTGTTATATGATGAGCTTCCTATACAGTTACACAAAGGAAATGTTCAAATATAATGTTCTATGTATCTAATGTGAGATCAATGGGAACTGCCTGTAATGTATGTGGGAAATATATATATAATGTATGGGGTAAATATACACCCCTGTATATACTGTGTATATAATGTATGGGGTAAATATACACCCCCTGTATATACTGTGTATATAATGTATGGGGTAAATATACACCCCCTGTATATACTGTGTATATAATGTATGGGGGGTAAATATACACCCCCTGTATATACTGTATATATAATGTATGGGGTAAATATACACCCCCTGTATATACTGTGTATATAATGTATGGGGGTAAATATACACCCCCTGTATATACTGTGTATATAATGTATGGGGTAAATATACACCCCCCTGTATATACTGTGTATATAATGTATGGGGTAAATATACACCCCCCTGTATATACTGTGTATATAATGTATGGGGGATAAATATACACCCCCTGTATATACTGTGTATATAATGTATGGGGGATAAATATACACCCCCTGTATATACTGTGTATATAATGTATGGGGGTAAATATACACCCCCTGTATATACTGTGTATATAATGTATGGGGGGTAAATATACACCCCCTGTATATACTGTGTATATAATGTATGGGGGTAAATATACACCCCCTGTATATATATAATGTATGGGGGTAAATATACACCCCCTGTATATACTGTGTATATAATGTATGGGGTAAATATACACCCCCTGTATATACTGTGTATATAATGTATGGGGTAAATATACACCCCCTGTATATACTGTGTATATAATGTATGGGGTAAATATACACCCCCTGTATATACTGTGTATATAATGTATGGGGTAAATATACACCCCCTGTATATACTGTGTATATAATGTATGGGGGTAAATATACACCCCCTGTATATACTGTGTATATAATGTATGGGGTAAATATACACCCCCTGTATATACTGTGTATATAATGTATGGGGTAAATATACACCCCCTGTATATACTGTGTATATAATGTATGGGGTAAATATACACCCCCTGTATATACTGTGTATATAATGTATGGGGGTAAATATACACCCCCTGTATATACTGTGTATATAATGTATGGGGTAAATATACACCCCCTGTATATACTGTGTATAGAATGTATGGGGGTAAATATACACCCCCTGTATATACTGTGTATAGAATGTATGGGGTAAATATACACCCCCTGTATATACTGTGTATAGAATGTATGGGGTAAATATACACCCCCCTGTATATACTGTGTATAGAATGTATGGGGTAAATATACACCCCTTGTATATACTGTGTATAGAATGTATGGGGTAAATATACACCCCCTGTATATACTGTGTATAGAATGTATGGGGTAAATATACACTGTGTATATAATGTATGGGGGTAAATCTAAAGCCCTTGGTATAAACTGTTTTATACCGTTCTTTTTCATTTTCAACTATTTAATCATTTTTCTTTCAGTATCTATTTTAAGTGAACATTGGTATAAACTAATATCTCTAATTTACAGAGCCACAGAAGATTCTAATTCCTGTCCACAACCCCAGAGCCTGTTCTCAGGCTGCCTGATTGGATTAATGATGACAAACACAAACAGGAATCAGATGACGGAGAGGATCCTGGATCTGACCCTGGAGGTCAACTACCTGCTGACTGGAGAGGTGAGGGATTCTGGGAATGTCACAGCAACTACACACTTTGATCCTGTGCTTTAACATGGATATTCTGAGACTTATTATGGAGAAATTTGTGAAGTAGATACTGGGTAGATATTTAATAAACAGACTTTTGAAAAGTTACTCCAAGCACCATAGTGATTTGAAGTGGTCATGGTGCCTGTAATTGATATGAGCTGTTTCCCTCTGAAATTCTGTACATAGGGAGTCTAACCCCCTCTGCTGCTGGAAGTATAACTCATCCTCTGGCAGCATCATTTGGGTGTGACCAGCTTCCAGGCTAAATTCTGTGCAAATTTGATTGAGCAGAATAGCATTAATTACCTGAAAGTGGTCAGCTGAGGATCTCCACCAATGAATGGCGAAGTCCGCGGCTTTCACAACTCTCCAGAAGTCAGAAACTCGTTACCAGGGCGCCTTGGCAGTGGTGGCTCTTGGCGTTGCATTAGGCAAAACTCAAACATAAGGCCCACACTACCACCACTAGTGAAAAATAAAAAAGGGGTTGCCGTGTATAAGGAGCTGGAGATATATTGAAAGATGGGTTTTCAGCACTGGATACAGAGAGTCTCTGTATTCATCGTTCAGAGGATTTCAGTGTTGCGGTTCCCTGTGCCGCTGTGTTGTGAGCTCTGTGACTGCAGTTATGGTAAAATTTGCAATAAACAAATTTAATTTCTATTATGCTAATTGTTTATACATGACAACGGGGTATGGTTGTATAGCCTGGCAGTCGGGTAAACATAAGTGCCGATGTGAAATGGTTATTTCAAATAAAATGAAAGTTTTGGATGGGCTATTTAAAAAATCATTTACCAGATAATAAACTTGCATATAAAAAAAAAACAATAATTTTTTTTAGTCATTTTCCCCTCTTATATAACCCTTTACATATATATTATATGTGTTTCCCCATGTATTGTATATGTATGTATATAATATGTTATATATCTCTTTATCTTTGCATTGCCCATACCATACCACCCTCACATTGCAAACATAGACACATACACAGAGATACATGTGCACATGCATACATACACAAACACTGATGCACAGAGACACACATATTGACTAATACAGGCATACAGTCACAACGTGTATTTTTTTTTTGGCTGTGTTTTGCATTGTTGTTTTGTGTCTGACAGTGAGTATCCTTGTATGTGAATGTATGTTTCTCTGAGAATGTGAATGCTTGTGGGGTAGCTGGTTGTTTTGTGTATATGGGGGGCTGCCTAGCGTCTTTGTGAACTTTGTTTATGGCGAAGCTATACTTTATGAGAAAACAAGGGGCTGGCTGCACTCACCTAAACATGCTTAAATGGGGTACTGCTGGGGGCCAATAAGTACAGTAAAAATGAAAATCCAGCGCACTCCCTTATCTGCTAAACAGCTATTTTGCTAGCTTTTTAAAAAACACATAATCTAGGCAAAAAAATAATGGGGGTTTAGTTACATTATATGATCATACGCCCCTCGTTTCTCTAACCCAGTGGTAATAAACCATGCCCCAACTCCAGAACCAGAACCCATGCAACTGGGCATTACAAAACTCACTGAGGCAGAGAGAGAATACAGAATGAACTGACCAATATGGAGTCCGCAGAGATATGTAAGCTGCTCACCTCCCTTGCTCAGCAAGTATCAAGCCTGACCCAGAATGTTTTGGAGCGGCAGCAAGAAGTTTTATTTCTTAAAGGTACAGTACGCCCAGCCCCGAAACCTGCTTATCCAGAGCCGTTTGTTGTGATGCCTTACAGATTTGATGGTTCCCGTTCCTTCTACACAGCATTCAGACTGGATTGTGAACTCCTTTTTGCCCTTAAGCCTAAGACCTACAACAGCGACTTTGTCAAGGTCCGTTCTGCCATCAACTTCCTTTCCTGACGGATTAAAGAGTGGGCATACCAGAAGCTGCAGGAAAAAAAGCACTGTCTTGGACAGCTGGGAGTCATTCATGACCGCAATGGACTCAAAGTGCGTTACCTCCAGGAAAGCTACTCCCAAGCCTGCTCCATATACCCGCAGATCTCGGTTACCCAAAGAAAAGGACTCCTACCAAGTCCCCATCATGTGGCAGCGTGAACCCACCTTCAGGGACCCGCCTTGTAACCCTGTTTATACTCAAGCTAGCCGTGAAACTCCAGTGGACATGGAGGAACCCATGGATATCGGATTTACCAGAACTTAATTGAAGGAAAAAGACCTCAGGAGAGCCCATGGCCTACGTCTATACTGTGGGAAAAGAGGGCATTTCATCTCTCTCTGCCCAACTCGTCCACCTAGGCCAAGATCCCTTCTGTCTGGTACCATATGGACTTATCCTGTCATCCCGGCAAGACAGTCTGGAAACTGCCAGCCCTGTCCCCGTCCTGTGACACAAAAGGGTACCCAAACTACTACAGTCAATGTTACCAGTGTCCCTCAAGAACCTGCAACCAGTACCCCTGTGGAATCTCCACCTCCTGCTCCAGAAACATCTGGACCTCTTTCAGATGACACTTCTGTTCAAGCAAGCACCATCACCACTTCCTGCCTTGCTAATAAAGTTCTGCCACCTGACTGCACGTATGCCTCGAATGGCACAGTTTTATGCAAACAGGATCTAGAAGTATTTGAAAAAGCATTGAAAGCTGTGAATGCCTCCCCTGTGAGAACTACTAGAGCAAAGGCTACGGTAGGTGCTGTGTTTCCCTCTAATCTGGAAGAAGGCCGTACGTATGGCATGGATGCCTATGGAAGAACGTACCTCTTGCCAGATGATGTATTCGATCTCTCAGAGGAGGAAGGTACTTCTGATCTGGAAGGT